CCTCCTCCTCCTCCTCCTCCTCCTCCTCCTCCTCCTCCTCCTCAGGGTCCATCGTGATCCGTTTCTCGGGGACGCGGGCCCCGCCGATGGGGGCGAGAGGCCTCCGGGAGGCCCCGGCAGAATGTGACAAACGCCAGGGTTTGGCCGTCGTCGTCTCGCTCCGTGCCTCCCCCCAGCGCGCAGGAAGATTGCTCCCTCCACGAGGCGCGAGGCGTGAGCGTCTTGGCGCCCCTGCGGGTGACCTCAGGACCCTTCTTCGTCGTCCTCGTTGGGCGGACGCCAGGCCTTGCATCAACACCCCGCACCGTCCTGGGCCGTGGTGTCGTTGTACAGCGTATGCGCCCGGCCGACCTGGCCTGCGAGCGTACACACCGACCCTGGGCAATACTGCCCTGGTCAGGATCGGTGCTGCTGTACTGCAGTATTCGGCCTGACCCAAGGAAAGATGAATCAGGAACGAGGCCCCTCCTGTTCCAAGTAGGTCCACGGAGCTCGCAGGAACAGCAGGGGGGCTCGCCGCCAACAAGGTGGCGGAACGCATGCAGACCAGAGCAACGACCGAGCCCCTTTTGAAAAGTAAAGTGTTCCTTAGTCAGCGGGGAGAGGAGGAGGAGGAGGAGGAGGAGGAGGAGGAGGAGGAGGAGGCGGAGGAGGAGGAGGAGGAGGAGGAGGAAGGAAGGAGGAGGAGGAGGGAGGAGGAGGCAAAAGCAACATCACCGACACGCCGCCGGCGGGAACCCATCCGCGCGCCACTCCCGGGTGGCCACGCGGCCCCTGGACGAAAACGGACGAGCAGCACGCTGGCGGGCTGCACCCCGGCGGCGTCCTTCCTGCACTGCCCCCAGACCAGACTCCGCCGTGGGGGGGACGGGTAGGGGGCCACATGCGAACCCTACCCCTACCCCCCTCAGAAATCGTAGGGGGTGGGGGTAGGGTTCGCATGTGGCCCCCTAACGGGGCCCGAAAGAAACAGAAGCAGCGGGTCCTGGGCTCCACGGCTTCCTTCGGGACTGGCCCTCCATCCCGAGTCGTCTTCGAGTCCTGGGGTTATGTCGGGCGTGTCCCCCTACAAGGGGATTTTCGACGAAAAATAAAATAAAAAATACCCCACAGATACCCCAAGAAGGTCAAAACATACGCAAAAAATAGTCCCCTGACTATTTGATGACTATTTTATGACTATTTCGTTCGTCGAAAATCCCCCTGTAGGGGGACAGGCCCGACTTAATCCTGGGGCCGACAGCCAGGAAAATCATCAGTGCTCCCGTCCTTCAAAAGAGTCCGGCTCTCCCTCGGGAGGCCTTGCGGACACCGGCGCGCGCTCCCTTCCTGGTGAAAAGCGCTGGCGCCTTCTGGCTTCGAGTATAGGGGACCGCCTACAACATTCATGTACCCCAGGATTAAGCCTCTCGCCGCACCTACAGGAACAGATTCTTGCGATAGGTTTGCGAAATTTCTGCGCGCTCGTCGTAGATTCGATAGGGGGGAAGTGAATTCTGGGGCACATCAGTTCTGTAGTCGATCCCCTCCTCGACTCGTGGCGACGAATGCTGGCGCCCCCCTGGCTCGTTGGGCTCCCGTTTCTGCCGGCCGCTGGTCGAGGCCCCGGGCGCATCCACGAGCGGCGCGGGAGCCCCCGCGCCGGCCCGTGCCCCCTCCGCGCCGAGGGGCTGCTCCTGACGGGCCTGTTCTCCACCACCACCACCACCAGAAGTTGGAGGGGGGACAGGAGGTGGAGGACGAGGAGGAGGAGGAGGACGAAGAGGAGGTGGAGGAGGAGGAGGAGGAGGAGGGGGAGGTGGAGGAGGAGGAGGTTGAGGAGGAGGAGGAGGAGGAGCACGAAGAGGAGGTGGAGGAGGAGGAGGAGGAGGAGGAGGAGGTGGAGGAGGAGGAGGACGAGGAGGAGGAGGAGGAGGAGGAGGAGGAGGAGAACCCCCCTCCCCCCCCCACTTATGGTGGCGGTGGTGGGAAACAGGCCCATCGGCTCCCACTCGGCCGCCCACTCGACGCCCCAGCCGGGGTCCCGCAGCAGCGCGGCCCAGTGGTGCAGGCGCTGGCGGGCGAGCTTCGGCGGCGCGCACGAAGGGGGGCAGGGCGGCCGCGTCGAGCACCCCCGAGAGCGTCATGCAGCGCCAGCGGCGTGTGCTTGTGCGCCGAAGCCCTTCAGAGCGACGCAGGCGGCGCATCGAGGGCCGAGACAGGCCGCGCGGCATGGGTGGAGCTGGAAGGGGGAGCACACGCACCCACACACACACACACATACAAACACAGCTGAGCTGCAGTAGGGGCTCGACCACAAGAAGCCGTCCACAAAAAACGCACCCCTGAGACCCCAGAAACGCACCCCTGAGACCCGAGTTCTGGTGTGGGGACGTCACGCGGTCCATAGCAAAACCATCGAAACCAAAGAAGCCCGGGGCACCCTGGAGGCAAGCAGGATGTTTCTTGGCATGGCTTCCACTGCAAGACGCGTCCTGAAGACAACCGAGATTGGCGGGGTTGGCCTCCCAGAGGCCCCTGAGAAGGGGCCACTCCCGCCTGAGAAGCCCCTTGCCTCACCACAGAAGCCCGCCCCCGCCCCCGCGCCACAACCCCCAGGGAGCCCGGCCCCTGGCCAGAGTCCGCTCAACACCGGGCCTCCGGCCAGAGCCCGCTCAAAACAGGGCCCCAGACCCCTCCCGGGTTCAGCCTCGCGAAACTAGCGAACAGGAAAAACACCCCCATAACAAGCACCCCGACACCCAAAGCCGTTTAGCAAACGCACCCAGGGCAGAAATCGAACAAAGCAAGGCTGTTTGGGAATAACATGTCATCTACCCTCCCTCCAACCTTTTACTGCGCCGAATGCGACGGCCGAGTTGTCTGTAGACGCATTCAACCCGAATGTGTCTATATACGTAACACCCAATGTGGTTGTAAACGCTTGTGGCTAGAGAGCCAAGTGAAGGTCGGCTAGAAGCAAGCAGACTTTGCCCTACAAGGGCTGTTCACGAAACGCCCCTGGCCGTTCACCAAACGCCAGCCACCGGGGGTCGAAATGGTGTTTCCCCCCTTGACTGTCGAGCTGCGCCCAGCCGTCTGCCCCCCTTGCGCGCCGCCGAGATCTGGTGGTACTGCAGGCGGTCGCTGCGCAGGCTCTCCTGCGCAGAGGGCGGCCCACCTAACATTATGTCGGGCCTGTCCCCCTACAGAGGGATTTTCGATGAAAACTTAAAAATACCCCCAATACCCAAACAGGGACAGGCCCGACTTAAACCTAACACCACCACCGCCTGGCCAATGCGGGCCAGGGCCATCCTGGGACCACGCATGGCGCTTGCGCACCCGCGGCCGCAGCCGCGGCCGCGAGGGTCTGCACGCCAGCCCAGCGCCCAGGGCGGCCCTGGCCGCCATGGCCATGCGCAATCCCACACATCAGTGCTGTTACACAGCGCCGCCCCCCCGAGGTCTGGACCCCTCTCCCGAGCTACCGGCCTCTCACCCCGAGCCCGTGCTTGCCGGTCCCCGCGAGGGCCGCCCTGCGCCGCACACCCAAGAAATGTTTGGATTAAGAGCGACGCGGAAGCAGCCGCGCACCGTCAAAGGGCCGAACAGCACAGGGCCAAGGCGTACATGACTACCTACCAGACCACCCCGACCCAACCCGAAGACCCGAATTCCGGGTGGGGGGGGGGGTACACCGGACTCACTTCTATAGCGCTCACTTCTATAGTGCTCACTTTGAAATTGTGGTCCGGAAGGGGCCGCACATACAGGCACATGCCGCACAGTCGCATGCACATGCCCATGCAAATATACAAAAGCCTCAACAGCATTGCCGCACATGCGCGCACATGCCACACCGTCCGACGCACAGTCGAATGCACGGTCAAGCAAAACTCTGAAAGCATAGACGCACATGCCCGCACATGCCGCAGAGATGTTGCAGGCGATAGTGGCCTGACCACCTGAGTTCGGGGCATTTCGCAACCCAGAGTTCCGAGGATGTCTCAGGCAAGCGTGGCCGGATCACCATGGGGCAGGGCATCTTGGAAACCAGAGTGGCGAGGATGTCGCTGGTCAAGGTGACCAGACGACCATGGGGCAGGACACCTCCGAGGTCTGAGTTGTGAGGATGCCTCAAGCGAAAGTGGCCTGACCACCATGGGGCAGGAGATCTCTGAGGTCAGAGTTGCGAGGATGTCTCTGGGGAGAGTGGTCTGACCACCTCAGCCCAGGGTATCTCGGAGCCCAGAGTTGCGAGGATGTCTCAGGCAGGACTGGCCTGACCACCTGCTCAGGGCATCTCAGAACCCAAAGTTGCGAGGGTCTCAGGCGAAAAAGGCCGAGACACTATGGAGCAGGGCATCATTGAGGTCAGAGTTGCGAGGATGTCTCAAGCAAAAGTGGCCTGAACAGCTCAACTCAGGGCATCTCGGGCGAGGATGTCTAAAGCGAAAGTGGTCTAACCACCTCAGCTCAGGGTGTCTCGGAACCCAGAGTTCCGAGGATGTCTCAGGCGAAAGGGGCCGAGACACTATCGAGCAGGGCATCATTGAGATCAGGGTTGCGAGGATGTCTCAGGCGACAGTGGCTGACCACCTCAGCTCGGGGCATGTCGGAATCGAGACTTGCGAGGATGTCTCAGGCGACCGTGGCCTGACCAGCATGGGGCAGGAGATCTCTGAGGTCAGAGTTGCGAGGATGTCTCATGCGAAAGTGGTCTAACCACCTCAGCTCAGGGCGTCTCGAAACCCAGAGTTCCGAGGATAATTATCTCAAGCGAAAGTGGCCGGGCCACCATGGGGCAGGGCATCTCCGAGACCAGAGTTGCGAGGATGTCTCAGGCGAAGGTGGCCAAATCACTTCATGTCAAAGCACGTCGGCCTCCAAATTGCCGACGACGTCTCACGCGGAACTGGCCGGACGCGAACGCGCCGGCGTCCGGAGACGAACGCCGGCCCCAGCATTCTTGCACGTCCCGCACATGCACTGCACAGGTACGCACAGTGTTCGCACAGGCCGAGCTCGCCGGTGGCCGAGCCAGGCCAGCGATTCCGAGATTCCCTGAGCTCGGGCCGTCAAGCCACTTTCGCCTGAGACAGCCTCGCAACTCTCACCTCCTCCTCCTCCTCCTCCTCCTCCTCCTCCTCCTCCTCCTCTCCTCCTGGCCGAGCCGAACAGGCAGGCTGGCCAGTGGCCGGGGGCGCCCGCCTCCTCCGCCCCCCCCTCCTCCCCCCCCCCTCCACCTCCCCCCCCCCCATCCCTGCTTCTCCGGCCGAGCTGAGAAGGCGCGCGGGAGAGTATTTTATTAGGCGGGCGCGCCACCGCCAGCTCACGAACCGGGCGAATAACCGCCCCCGCCAGCAGCGGGCGAGTCTAAACGCACAACAAACTCTTTCAGCAGGAAACCCTGGCACGCCCCAGGTTAGCTCTGCGAAGGCCAGGAGGCATTGGAGGCACAGGGGTCCCAGACAGCTCCTAGGGCATGAGCGTGCATGTGCATTGGGATGTGCACGCATGTGCGCCCGCGCGCTTCACCGCATGTGCGTGCATGTGCGGGCCCGCGCGGCCTCCCGAAGAGAGGTGCACAGGCATGTGCGTGCATGTGCCGATGACAGATCTGCGATTCTCGAACACCTCCCGCATGTGCAGGCATGTGCGCGCATGTGCGTCGGACTGTGCGTGCATGTGCGTATGATGGATACATCAAAACACAGCGCACATGCCCCCGCACATGCCCGGGCACGACGTGCACAGTAGGAAGTCCATCCAAGAAGGACCGCACAGGCCTGGCACATGACTGGCACATGCCGCGCACATGCGCGCACATGACACAGCAAAAACGGCCGCACATACACCCACCCAGGGGTATAGATGTGAGTGCGGTGTAAGGGTTCCACGCGTGTTTTTGTCGATGTTCCCCGACCCCCCCCCACTGGAAATCGACGGGAAATTTGAGCCTTCGGGTGGGGTTGGGGTGGTTTGGTGGGTGGTGGGTACAGCGCAACTGTGCGCACCCGACAGCACGCGGCAGCACCCAACGACGCCCGCCGTGACCTCTCGCGGCTCCAGGCGGTGGGGGGTGCAGCGGAGGCCCCCCCGCGGCTCTCCAGGGCGTACAGCAGCAGGCCCTCGGGCCCCCGCAGCGCCAGGCCTGCGGGGCAGCGACCAGGGAGCCACCGGCTCGGGAGGGGGAACGTCGGCCCGGCATCGGCAACACATGGCTGATCGATCGGCGATGGGCCCCTGATAGCGAAGTCGCACGTTCAGACAGAGCTGGAGCCTCCTGGTAGGCAGTGTTGGAGCGTCGTGGGTGCCGCTTGGGGGCCTCGGTTGGGCCTCTTGGGGCTTATTTGGGGGCCTCTTTTGGGCAGCTTGGGGGGTTCGTGGGGCCTTTGGGGGCTCTCTCCGGGCAGAGGGTCGGATCTTCGATTCGTGTTCTCCCTCCTGGCCTCTCGTGGGGCCCCCTTGGGGTGATCGTTGGCCGTCCTGGGCGGGGTGGGCCATCGGAGCCCTCTCGGCGATCGGTGGGCGCCGGGGGGTCGCTGCGTGCCCTCCTGAGCCTATCCCTGCCCCGTGGCTGGTCCTCGGGGCATGCCTCGGCTCTCCGGCCGCCGTTGGGGACGACCCAGGCAACCCTAAGAACGCACCTCGACGAGGCGCAACTGCTGGAGGTCATCCCGACGGTGGGCAAGCGCAGAGGACCCAGGAACAGCATTCACAGACCATCAAAACCCTCCCCCCCCCCCCCCGAGCGTATCCTCTCGGCTACACGCAAGAAGAGTGAGCCTTGGTAAGCGTGACCTGTGGTGCGCGGCTTGTTGGGGGCCGCGGGGGGAGGCCAAACCTGGGCGCGCAGGCAGCTGCTACTGCTTCGTCTTCGGCCATCTGGGGACCCACCTGTGCCCGCACCAGAAAGGTCACTCCTGCGAAAGGTCACCCTTACGCACGTCCAGTCGAAGTATCGACGGTGGACAAACCTCCCTTTAGTAGACCTCCCCTTAGTGAAAACGGCCTGGGACCGAAACAGACGGACCTGGACCCGCAGAAATGACGGCCGCGACGCCCCCTCGCGAACCGAGAACGGCCAAGTCCTTAATCGACGCGTCAGGGTAGGAGGTCTGTCCACCCCGGAAATCTGCGCTCTCCCATCGATCACCGGACGCTGGCGCACGCGAGTGCGCTCGAGCGACGGCACTCCGAGGACACGCCAGGCTCCTTGCTTGCTGCAGCCATCGTGCTGCCATGCTGAAGGGGCCCTGGGACACACAAATAAATACACAAATAACCTGATTCCCCATAGTTTTCCATCTTTTCTGGGGTTTAGCCCTCCCCCCCCACTTCCCATATTTTCCCATACTTTCTGGGAAACCGACGACTGATTGTGTCTGTGTCTGTCGCCGCCCCCGAAGGCCGCTCGAGGGCGCGGGGCGCGCCCGCCGCGCCGGCGCGCCCGCGGCCCGCGGCGCGCGCGCCAGCGCCGCCCGGGCGGCGCGCGCCGAGCGCTCCAGGAAGTCCTATTAGGGGCGCGGGGCGCCTGCGGAGCCTGCGGCAAGCCCGCGTCGTGCCGGCTCCGGCGTGGGCTTCTGGCACCGCGGGGATCGTTCCGCACGGAACTCCTGGGCCTGTTTGCCACCAGCACCAGCAGAAGCTGAAGCGGGAGGGGCCCCTCCTCCTCCTCCTCCTCCTCCTCCTCCTCCCCTCCTCCTCCTCCTCCACCTCCTTCCCCCCTCCAACGTATGATGGTGGTGGTGGAAAGCAGGCCCATCATGAACGATCGGCCGTTTCCAAAAAACTTCAGATCGTGCCACGATGGGCCGATGCTGGGCCACGGTCGGCGCTCCACGTGGAACGCTGGCGGCGGGACCGCCGCCTTGTCGGCACGAAGCGAGCCTACCGTAGCCCACCTCCCCCCTCAGAGAGGTCGTGGGGTGGTGAGGTATAGGGTTCGCAGGTGGCCACCGCTCCTGGGCGCAGGACACCCGCGTCACGCAGAGCTGCACGCGCGGGTCGTCCCGCGCCACGATGGCGTAGACCACCTGCACGGCGCGCCGGGAGAGGGGCGCCTGGAGCCGGACCCGGACCAAAAGAGCAGCCCTCGGGAGCACGAGCCCCTCCGCAGGCCCGAACAAACAGAACACCCAAGGGCAGCCTCCACGGGATGCACTGGAACAGCCAACAAGCACGATGAACACTGGGGTACCCTCCCAGACCGACCTCGATCTGATACCTCGCTCGGACTGTACGGTCCAGGGCCTGGGAGTTGCGGGATGCCTTGAGGCCGTTCTGCGCACGCAGAACACGCTCCTGAAGGGTTTCCAGCAATTCTGCTCAGAGACTGGCGCCCAGGGGCTGAGAATTACGGGATGCCTCGAGGTGGCCGCTTCGCACAGGCGAAACGCACTCCTAACGGTTTCCTGTAGTAGTTCACTGTGGGAAACCCTTCAGGTACCAAAGGCCGGGGGGGGGGGTAGGGGGCGAACCGAATCGAGAAGTCGAATCGGCGATCAAAATGAGTCGGATGGGGGGAAATCTGCAGTCGAGTCGGAGGAAGCGGAATCGGCGGAAGTCGGCAGGCCAGAAGGCCTCCATTGAGAAATCGGAGTCCGACTTGGAACCCCAAGTCTTAGGTCGGGCCTGTCCCCCATGCAGGGGGATGTTGGACGAAAGATCAGGAGTAGTTTAAACATAATTCAAGCATACTCAAAAATAGTCTGATAATCGTCCTCACGCTATGCTTTTACCATCTTTGAGTATTCCTTCTGTAGAGGGACGTGCCCGACTTAACCCAAGTCGAATCGGATCGGAATCGGAAGCCATCGGAATCGCATCGGGCTGGATCGGAGGAGTCGACATGAGCCCCGCGGGGGGGGCGGGGGGGACCCGGACCCTCCAGGGGGGCTGCACGAGCAGTGCCAGGACCTGCGAGCTCAAGTGCTGGCCAGAGGCCTGGGGGGAGAAGGAGGACCATGCTCCAGCACTCTGAAGGTTTGGGGGCGCGCAAACATGGATTAGCGATCCATGGACTTGGCGCGCGGTCGCCAGATCCATGGATCGGGGGAGGTGCCCTCCCCAATCTGCGGCCGGTGCCGCCTCGCTCGGCGGCGGAAATCCGCGATTTTCCATGGAAACGGGACCCGTCGCTAACCCACGCCCCCTTTATCCATGTTTGAGATCGCCTGAAAGGTCAGGAGGGGAAGATGAGTAGTGCAGAAGGAAGAATGGGGGGATGGGGGGGGAGGGCATGCAGTCTTGGAGGTAGTATGGCCCCAGCCCTGATACCCCCATATAACAGATACACACGGGGAGACACCAGTCCTCACCCCTCTCTTGGACGCCCACGAGTTGGCGCAGACCACCTGGGCAGGGCCAGCCAACAGGGCGGGGCAGCTTGGGCGCAGATGTCTGAAGAGTCGATCCCAGGCGTCTTGCTCAGCCCAAGAGAAGCGGGCTCCTTGGAGCTCGGGCCCATCCGAGACATCCGTGCGGACGTTCAAAATTATCCGCTTGACACATATCCCTACCCCTATATCTGGCATCACCTTACCTCGGTGCCGGTCTTAAGGGTTCCCTCAGTTTCTGGCGGCACACCCCTAAGACTTTCGCCGCCTTGGCTTTACCGATCTTAGGGATAGAGATAGGTTCGAGGCTGGTGGCAAAATACACATTGATGTTTACTTGTATTCTTCTGAGCCTTCCGGCTGGAGGGGATCTCGGAGCATCGAGAGTCGAGACAAGGGCAGCTATAATTCCGTCCCAGGCCTCATCCCGGAACCCAAACGCACCAGTTTTCCGAGCTGCGCCCAGCCGTGGCGACGACGGGGCCCCCCGAAGGCCCACTGCCGTCGCCTCAGCTGCCGGAGGCCAACTGCCGTGGCCTGCCGAGAATCGGCTCGCGCCGGATCGGCTCGGAACGAGATCGGCACCCTGAGCCCGCGGGGACCGGCTCGGGCCAGGACCGCCCCCCCCCCCGGGCACCTTGCGCGCGGTCAGCAGCGCGTCCCGGCCCGCCGCCAGGGGGGTCTGGTCCACCAGGGGCTGGCGCCGCAGCTGCTCCGCCTCCGCCAGCCCGTGCAGGCGGCGCACGTGCACAGGGAACCGCCACGGCCGCGAGAGCACCTCGTCGTAGGCCGCCTGGCCGCGGTCGCAGAGGAGGAGGAGGAGGAGGAGGAGGAGGAGGACGAGGAGGAGGAGGAGGAGGAGGCGGAGGAGGAAGAGTATGAGGCGGAGGAGGAGGAGGAGGAGGCGGAGGAGGAGGAGGAGGAGGAGGAGGAGGAGGAGGCGGAGGACGAGGACGAGGACGAGGAGGAGGAGGCGGAGGAGGAGGAAGAGTATGAGGCGGAGGAGGAGGAGGGGGCGGAGGAGGAGGAGGAGGAGGCGGACCGCACCGCCAGAAGAGGACCGCCCGAGCGAGGAGCGAGGGGGCACTGCTGCGGCCCCGGCGAGCCTGGGCCACGGGCAGGTTCCCCGACCTATAGGTCTGAGCAGCGGCGCGGAAACCAGAGCCCTTTGCTCCCCCTTCGACTCATTCGCACGCTAGCAGTGGGTACTTGAAAGATAGGTACGATGTCCCACACCAGATGTGGTCCCAAACCGACAGCGGCCGCTGTTGGGCAGACGACGCCTTGTCTCAAAAGGACCGTGCCCGCGGCGGCACCGACAGCAAGCCCTGTTCGAATGGACAATAACTGCTGTCGGCCGTCGTCCCCATACTTGCCGTACCCTTGGCGGTAAGCCCTGGGGGGGGGGGAGAAGCGAGAGGAGGCGGGCCTGCTCAAAAGGCGGCGGGGCTTCTGAAGCCCTCGCGCCTGCGGAGAAGTTCTCTGAGCCCTCCCCGAAGACGACGCGGAATGCTTCTCAGAAGGCCAGAGACCTCCTGAGAGGCCCCGCCGCCTTCCGAGTAGTCCTGCTCCCGGCTACACGCAAGAGTGGCCTAAGCAAGCGCGACATTTGGTGCGCGACCCAACGGGGGGCCTTTGTGGTGGGCTTGTCTTCCACCGCCACCACCATAAGTAGGAGGCGGAGGGGATCCTCCTCCTCCTCCTCCTCCTCCTCCTCCTCCTCCTCCTCCTCCTCCTCCTCCTCCTCCTCCTCCCCCCCTCCCGCTTATGGTGGTGATGGTGGTGGAAAACAGGCCCATCACTTTGGACCAGACGCGCACGCCGCTGCTACGGCATCGCAGCCCGCGACCGGGGGGGGGCCCTTGGGCCCGGACCAAAGCAGAAGAAGAAGAAGAAAACATTAAAAACAGAAGAAACAGAAGAAGAATAATAAGAAGAAAATAATAATAATAAAAACATAAGAAACAAAATAAACATAATAAAATAAGAGAAACATAACAAACAGAAGAAGCAGCAGACGAAACAGTAGAAGAAGAATAAGAAAAACAGAAGAAAAGCATGTAAGCATAAACTGTTGGCGCTCCGCGTGCATTTCTTGGATCCGCGCCGGACCCGCCGGACCCCCCTCCCTGGCGCGCGGAGCGCGCCAGGGGCGGCGCCGGAGGCGCCGCCGAGGGGCCCAGGCGCGGATCCAAGAAATCCGCGCGGAGCGCCAACAATTTTATTATTGTGTGGCCTTCCCTTCTTCGACAAAGGTCACTCCGGCGGAAGGTCACTCTTGCATGTAGCCGATGCTCCACCCCCACTGCCGCATCCCCCCCTGGGGCGTGCCGCCGAGCACCATCTTCGATCGTGCCGAGCGGCGGCGCCTGGCGGGGAGAGCATAAGGTACTGATACCGCTGCTCCCCGTGATGGGCCGACTTCCCACCACCACTACCACAGGTAGGAGGAGGAGGAGGAGGAGGAGGAGGAGGAGGAGGAGGAGGAGGAAGGAGGAGAGGAGGAGGAGAGGAGGGGGAGGAGGAGGCAGGAAGAGAGGAGGAGGAGGAGGAGGAGGGAGGAGGAGGAGGAGGAGAGGGAGGGAGGAGGGGAGCAGGAGGAGGAGTAGAGGAAGGGGAGGAGGCGGAGGGAGGAGGGAGGAGAGGAGGGAGGAGGGAGGAGGGAGAAGGGAGGAGGAGGAGGGGGGAGGTGGAGGAGGAGGAGGAGGAGGAGGGAGGAGGAGGAGGAGGAGGAGGAGGAGGAGGAGGAGGAGGAGGACCTCACAATCCTCCCTTCTCCCCCGTCCTACCCATGGTAGTGGTGGTGGAGATCTGGCCCATCACCCCGGACCTCTCCCGCGGCGCGTTCTGGCCAGCACTTCGAGGCGAAGCCAGCGGCGGTGGTGACGAGTGCAGCCAGTGAAGGCCCCCCCAACAGAAGGGAACACGAGGGAAGGGCAAAGGCAGGGGGTGCCCTTCCCTCCTCCGACCTGGAGCTCGCGGAGGGGCGCGTACGCCGCTGGCAGTGCCGCCTTCGCGCCCTGCTGCGCGCCGTGCGCCGCACAGCGCGCGGCGCCGGGCGCGCGCCGCTGCAGCGCCCAGGAGGCCGCGGCGCGCGGCCGCACGGACGCCATGCGCGGCTCGGACCTCCGACGCGCCGCGCGGCTGCGCCGTGCGGGGCCCCAGCCCAGGAGGCTCTGAACGCCGAGCGGCCCCTGCTGGGGGAGGAGGAGGAGGAGGAGGAGGAGGAGGAGGAGGAGGAGGAGGAGGAGAGGAGGAGGAGGAGGAGGATGAGAGGAGGAGGAGGAGGAGGAGGCGTCGAGGTCGGGCGACGGCCTGTATGTGCGTGGGCGATCTGCCTCCGCCCGCTCGAGCCTCCGACGCTCTGCTGGGGGGCCGCGATCTGCCCCCCCCGCCCCTGGGGGCGAGTCGAGCGGAAGTCGGGCCGGAGCCGAACCAGAGCCGAGCCAGAGTCTCGGGTCGGGCGAAAGGGGGGGATAGCAAAGGGGGGGTTTGAGAATCAGCTCACGTAGCTGATTTTCCCGGCGCCTCCCCGCGCCGGAGGCGGCCATGTATCGAGGAATGGGCCCCTCGGTGAGGCCGAAACCGGCTGCACGCAGCAAATTCCGTAACCCCCCCTTTCCCAATCCCCCCCCTTTCGCCCGGCCCGAGAGTCGAAAGGATCCGGCGGGTGGGCCCTGGGAAGGTCGCCCAAACGGAAGTATCGAGGAATGGGCCCCTCGGTGAGGCCGAAACCGGCTGCACGCAGCAAATTCCGTAACCCCCCCTTTCCCAATCCCCCCCCTTTCGCCCGGCCCGAGAGTCGAAAGGATCCGGCGGGTGGGCCCTGGGAAGGTCGCCCAAACGGAAGACTGGCCTGCTTGCCTCCATACCAAGACGAATCATTCGGACATACACTTGAGGAGGTTCGCGCGGAGTTCTCGGAACGAGAGGCCTCATATATAGGGTCCGTGTAGATGTGGTCGGAGGATCGCGCCGCATCGCGATGCATCGTCGATGCATCGCCGACGTCGGCGACGCATCGGCGACGTCGGCGTGGAGAAAATCGGGCTCCGCATCGAGTCGCATCGTCGATGCAGCGGCGATGCGGCACGGTCCTCCGACCCGATCTACTCCGGCCCCAGCTGGGATGCCTAGATGGATCCGCGCGGAGCTCCGAAAATTAACGTGCCCTTTTCTCTTCTTCGACTTCAGGGCGTCGGGGGCCCGGGGACCCAGCGTCTTCAGGCTACCTTCGCCAAGGCTCACATGCATTGCATGATCGTGGGCCGCCGCGGAGCCTTGCGAGCGGCCGGGCACTTCGGCAAAAGCATCGTGTTCCTCTCTGGTCACCCTGCCTGCTTGGTCCTCCTCTCCTCTCCTCCATTCCCCCTCGCACCCGAGTCGTCCTCCTTGTCTTCGTCGTGGTCGTCCTCCTCCGGGGGGACGACCACGAGGAGGACGAGGAGGGGCATTAGATAGGGAGGAGGAGAAGGCTCCTCCCTCCTCCTCCTCTTCCTCCTCCTCCTTCCTGAATGCCTCTCCTCCGCATCCTCGCCCCACCCTCCTGAATGCTTCTCCTCCGCGTCATCCCACTCCACCTCCTCCTCCCCCTCATCCCCCTCCTCCTCATCATTCCTGTCAGACCTCCTCATCCCTCTCATCCCGCTTTGCCTCCATCCTCCATTCGGGGATGGACAGACACCCCTTTAGTAAACCGTGGTTTAGTGAAAACGACCTGAGGCCCAAACCTAGCGGGCGCAAGCCTGGAAAATGACGGCCACGGCGCCCTCTCGAGAACCGAAAACGGACCATTCACTAATCGACGTGTCACTGTTGGGGGTTCTGTCCGCCCCCGATCCACCCCCCCCCTCATCGCCCTCCTCCATCGCCGGGGGGGGGGGGGGGCGGATGGGAGGGCCCGGGGAAGGGGAGGCGAGGGGGCGAGGGGGAGGAGGGAACCAGGAGGGGAGGAGGCGCAGCGGGGCTCCCACAGTCGATCCAAGATACAGTCGGGGCCTTGACCTTAAGTTTAAGGAACCCTAAATAAGGAACGAGGCCTCTTTTCCCCATAAGTTTAACTCCGATTTCCCATCGGAACCCTAAGCAAAACCAAAGGCGAACTGCAAAACAACTAAGGAACATCGAGCCCCTCCCCAACGAAAAGGGTTCCTTCCTCAGTGCCCCGATGCCCTCTATGGGTGGAAACTGGCAGGGAGGGCGTGTGCACTGGCCCGGGACCCAGGATGGCCCAGTCCGGGGCTGCGAGTGCGTATAGACCTCGTCGCGCAGTCCTCCTCGCTCCTCGCCCTTCGGCTGGAGCGCGGGCGGGCGTGAGGGCGGCAGGACGGGCAGGGCGGGCGGAACGTCGTCCTCGTCGTCGTCGTGGTCGTCGCGGGCCGCGTAACAGAAGAGGGCGGCGGTGGCACCAGGCAGGCGGTGACGGGGACCACCCTCACGAGCTCCCTCCTCAGCAGCCACCTGGCCCGACAAAGGAACTCCTGTCCTCCCTCCCATCCACCTCTCTGGCCCCCTCCTGATCCCAGCGTCACCTCCTTCCCCTCCCCATCGCAGCCACCCGCCCCGCAAGAAGATGCCCCCCCGCTGCACAACCCTATCCAGACACTGCCCTTCCTCTGTCAACCGCCATCCATACATGTGTCTCTCCATCGTCCATCGCCTCATCCCGCATCTCCCTCCTCCGATCTGCTCCCTCACCTCGCCCTCGCCGATCGTCTTCCTCCTCCTCCTCCTCCTCCTCCTCGTCCTCGTTAATGTCGTCGTCGTCGTTGTCGTTGTCGTCGTCGTCGTCGTCGTCGTCGTCGTCGTCGTCGTCGTCGTCGTCGTCGTGGTCGTCGTCGTCGTCGTCATCGACGCCGCCCCCTTCCTCCCCCATCCTCCTCCTGCGCTTCCTCCTCCTCATCCTCCTCCTCCCATCTCCCTCTTCATCCTCCTCTCCTCTCCTTCCTCTTCTCCACTTCCTGCACCGCAACCTTCTCTTCGACGGGAAAACATGGATATGCTCAGGTTGATTCCGAAATTCGGCTTCACGGCCAACACCCAGAATCATTATCATCTCAGTGATACGTTTTCACCTTCACAAAAAAGATGGCCCTAAGTTACCAAGTGGAACCAATCGAATCAACGATTTTGATCTGGGGACCGACATAGTTGTGCTCTGATAAATCCACCGGCCCCCTTTTGGGGCCACCAGGCTGTAGGCCTAAGGTTCGCAGTTTCCTTCACCAGTTGCAGCTTCCAGTTTCCACTGTTACAGTTCTGCCTCTTGCTGATTACTGTTCCTTGTTGACTTCTTGCTGCTTACTGTTCCTGGTTGATGAACCGCGCGAGGGGGGGAGGCCCAAAACGAGCATTTTCACCACGCCCTGAGCGTGTTGTCTGAATCGCTGGGGTGGGTAAAAACTGTCACCTCTCACGCTGATCGGCGGGGTCAGGGTCCAAAAACACACTGATTTGCCACATTTCTGAAATTCGGCGGCACCCCTCACGCAGATCGGCAGGGTCAGGGTCCACAAACACAAGGGATTTGCCACATTTCTGAAATTCGGCGGCACCCCTCACGCAGATCGGCATGGTCAGGGTCCAAAAACACAAGGGATTTGCCACATTTCTGACATTCGTTGGCACCCTCACGCAGATCGGCGGGGTCAAGGTCCAAAAACAAACTAATTTGCTACATTTCTGAAATTCGGTGGCCCCCCTCACCAAGATAGGCGGGGTCATCAGGGTGCAAAAACATACAAGATGTGCCACATGTTTGACATTCGGTGGCCCCCCTCACGCAGATCGGCTGGGTCAGGGCCCAAAAACATAATGAGACTTGCCACATCTTGAAATTCGGTGGCACCCCTCATGCGGCGGCGGCGGGGTCAGGGTCCAAAAACACATGAGATTTGCTGCCACCCCTCACGCAGATCGGCGGGGTCAGGGTTCAAAAACACATGGGTTGTGCCACATTTCTGGAATTCGCTGGCACCCCTCACGCAGATCGGCGGGGTCAGGGTCCAAAAACACATGGGAGATGCCAAATGTTTGAAATTCGTTGGCACCCTCATGCAGATCGGCGGGGTCAGGGTCCAAAAACACAGGGGACGTGCTACATTTCTGACATTCGGTGGCCCCCCTCACGCAGATCGGCAGGGTCAGGGTCCAAAAACATACTGATGTGCCACATTTCTGAAATTCGGCGGCACCCCTCACGCAGATCGGCAGGGTCAGGGTCCAAAAACACAAGGGATTTGCTACATGTCTGACATTCGTTGGCACCCTCACGCAGATCGGCAGGGTCAGGGTACAAAAACACAACGGATTATTTTTGAAATTCGGTGGCACCCGTGACGCAGATCCGTAGGGTCAGAATCGAAAAAACAAGCAGGTCCCGACACTGCTGCACGGCGGCGCCCAGACCTTATGATTTAGCTTTTGCATCTCCCACTATCCGAGACAGAGGGCCGGCGGCATGGGGCGAAGTCCTTACGGATAATGGCTTATTTCGTCTGCATCGTATGCGCGTTGCCTTCGTATTCAATGCTTCGGTTCCGCGTTGGTTGCGTTTCGGCGATCGAGAGCGAGAGCGTCAATGTTCTTGTAAATTCTGGTGGCGTGGTTCTGGTCGATCTGGAAATGAAGCAACACTGACTGGAATACACGCAGAAAGAATCCGACACGACACCCAACAGACAATGTTCGCCAGCGTGACCCTCAAACCACAAGTGATTGCACTGTGGATGTGTCAGCTATGTGATGCAATCTACGTGGTGCGGTCCATGTGGTGTGAGCTACAGTCGGGGCGTTGACCTAAGGAACCCTAAATAAGGAACGAGGCCCCTTTTTTTTCCATAAGTTCACCTTCGATTTCCTGTCGAAAACAGGAGGCAAGCCTGAGGCAAGCTGTGAAACACTTAGAAAAACGAGGAGCCCCTCCCCAACGAAAAGGGTTCCTTCTTCAGGGCCCCGACTGTACATCGTGCAAGCGATGAGGTGTAATCTATGTGGTGCAACCTCGACGGAACTCCCACACCAGGTGGGCGGTAACGAGGCGCCAACGGGCGACGACGTGGCGAAACCTCCACGGACCCCCCAAGTGGGCGACAGCAGGCGGCAACGGGCGGCGACCCCTCCTCTCCCCACCTCTTCTCAAGTCGACTCTCCTCGCATCTCCACCTCCCACACCCCTTCCCCGCCCAGCTTTTCCACGCCTCGCCCTCACCCGCCTCCTCCTGCTCCTCCTCCTCCTCGTCCTCCTCGTCCTCCTCCTCCTCCTCCTCGTCCTCCTCCCCCTCCTCCTCCTCGTCCTCCTCCTCCACCCTTTCTTCTCCTCCTCCTGCAAAACCCCGAGGAGGGTTCTGCACGGGAGCTCGGTGACAGCGATGACGATCGGTCACCTTTTTACCTCAGCACGGCGAAGCAAGTCTCGGTAGCTTCAGCCGTTAAATACTTGAGCCAAACGGTAGCGGGGACACCTTCACTCCCCAGTCACCTGAATGCTCACATGTTAACACCCCCCCTCGGACGCTAGTCCGTGTAGGCTGACGGGGAGGCGTCAACAATCACGAAAACAGGTCAAGCTAGGCAAAACGTCGCACGCAAATGACGTTAAGCCTCAAGTCTCTTCATCACACTGTTGAATTCGAAATGTCTCGTGACGGCGCTTACGAGCACCAAGTTTCTCACACATGTAACCTGAGCTCTTTTACTGTCACAAGTTCAAACGAATCATCTAAAGTTTACACAGCAAGCTAGCATTTGGATGATTTTGGTTGCTTTCGCTTTTTATTCGCCAATACCTGCGGTAACAACAAGAGATGCGCATGCAAACAAACTCAGCTCAACAAGCTGCTGCCACTCGATCGTTAAGCCAAGTTAAGAGGGGAGATGAGGAAGAGCGTGAACTGCAGCATGTCGACTGCCTGCCATCTTTCACGGACGGCGCGGGCGCCTCGCCGACGGGGCCCGTGAACCCCTCGACCTCGGTAACCCGCGATGGCCCACACCGGCTGCGGTGTAGGACGACACCCTGTTAAGGGCCTGCATCTGGTTGTAGTAATCGTTGTCCATGTACGCGTTAATACGCTCCTCGTCGTCAAGCCAGCACCCCTCATCGTGGCTCTTGATTGAGCCGTCAACGATGTTGTGGTAAGTGCCGATGGCTCTCCAGTAACTGGCGTGGGGAGCCTTTAACAGAGGCCCATCGCCTGGATTGTTACGGAGGTGCTCTTCGACCGCAGCGCCGGTAAACGGGTTCACAGTCCAGGCCGGATCGGTAAGCCAGTTGGGGAAGTCGTCGCACGGTAACCAGCCAAACCAGCAAAGCTTCTCACGGTGATCGCTTTTACGCTCGGTGACATGATCGGCCGGCCAATTATCACGGTAAAGTGCCCTCATGGATCCCTGATCGTTAAGGGCAACTTCCAAGACGGTCTGGTGCCAGTATACTGGAGGCTTGCTCATCCTGCCCTTTAACTCCGCGGTGCTCCTGACCTCGAGGTCGTCGATGTAGTAGTTACGGTAATGCACCTGGAGCCCGTTCATGTAACGGCAGTAAAGCCTGGCAAGATCGGGCGTCGCAAAGCGAATCACGGTAACTCCAGTCGAGATGTAACCGTGCGGCCCATGGGTGTCCTCCACCAGGTGCTTAACGGAGATCACGGTGGGGTTGCCGTGGGGCAGCATTCCTGCCCACGTTAAGAAGAGGCCGTTAAGCTGCTTCTCGCTCATCTCCGGCACCTTGTTGACGTACACTTGCGTGTCCGCGCAACTGTGGTGCTCAAACCACGATGGGTGAAGCTCGTTAAGGTGGAGCGGTGGCACGTAGTCATCGTCAAATAGGTACTGCACGTGCCCAACCGCGTCAACCCATTCATCATGCTTGGCCAACTCTTTGTCCGTTAACTGAGACCTCCAGCTGATCGGACCTTGCAACACGGCATAGCCGATGAAACCGCAAGCGCGTTGGCCGAAGATGTCAACGAACACGTCCTCGTAATCGTTAAGCCCCCGCCCGGTGTTGCCCTGAATGGACCTGCCGCCAGGGGTCGTTAGCCCCGCCTTCGCCACGTGCCCGACGAAGTTACCCTCAAACTTGCGCCAGTTATCACGTGTCTTCATCGTTAAGGCTACCACCTCCCTGGGATCAGGTTCCGCCCGAAAGTTAACGTCGTAGTCGTCGCTCCTGTTGTTCAGCATGGACATGCGACCGTTGACGTGGTACAGCGGGCGGTAAGTGGTGTCCTTGGCGACGATCCTGGAGTGCCTCTCAACCTGATCAGTCGTGCGGTTAACGACCTGAGGCTGCGGTGGCGGGATGCGCTGGAATGGTAACCTCTTGGCCTCTGGAGGCGGGGGCTTCACGCCGGTAACGCTGCTTGCCGCTCTGGACTCGCCGAGCCCCGGAGGGGGCGGCTTGGCCGGCCTCGCGTTTACGACGGGAGCAGGATCCTTTGGCGCCTCATCACGTTGAC